TTGTATTTTTTAGATTAATATTTATTAAATAATAATATATTTTTTAATTTTTCAAAAAAATTTTCTAAAAACTTATGGGTATTACTGTATATTATATAAAAATTCAATTCAATTAAATTAAAATTATAATATAAATTTATATTATATATATTTTTTCAAATTTGAAATTTAAAAAACAATATTTTTTAACTTATTATATTATTAATATTTATAAATATTATAACATAAAATAATATCTTTTATAATTATTTTTTTTAAGATTATTAATATATTATTAATAAATATATTATAAATATAAGTATTATTAAATATAACAATATAATTTTTTCTAAATAATATTAAAATAACTTATGCTTCTATCTGTTTATTTTATTTTATTTGTTTATTAGTTATTATAATTTATATTAAAATATATTGTAATACAAGTTTCAATATATAAAAACAAATTATTGTCAAGAAATAAATTATTAATATATTGTATATTTTTTTTAAAAGCTAAAGTTATTTAATAAATTTGTAAAGACATTTTTTTATATAAATATTAAATATTATAATTTAATAAAAATATTATTGATATAAAAAATCAACTTATTATAGATAAAACTTTAAAAATTAAAGCTAATATTAAATTAATATAATCTATAAAAACTTTATTTTTAAAAAAATTATTAATTATATTTATAATTTATATAATTTTAAAGTCATTAACAAATTTAGTAAAAATAATAAAAGTAATAAAACAACAAATATAATATTTAATTATTTATATAATCAGGCTTTTATTAAAATCTTTTTCTGTATATAAAAATTTTTATTAATTATATTCAAAACAATATTCAAATTTATTATATATTATTTATAATATGAACTCTATAAAAAAATATATATAATATATTTTCAAATATTCAATAACATTTAAAAAAATAGATTAAACTATAAATTTTATTAATTGTATTTTTTATTTAAATAGCAATTAAAGACTAATATAATAATTTATATACAGTATAGCATAAAATAAAACTTGTATATATATTATTAATAATATATTTTATTGCAAACTTCAATAATTAAATTAAATTAATAATCTTATTTAGCAAAAAATTTTTTAATTAATTGATTGTTTTAAATTTAATTATAACTGAAAATTCTTTTATTATTTATTATTAGTAAAAAACAAAAATTCTAAAAAAATAATATATTATTTCTTAATATATTGTATATATTATTATTAAAAAAAAGAATATTATATATAAATTATATTTGTTTGATATAAAAAGAAAGCTTAAATATGAAAAAAGAATTTTATTTATCTTTTAATAGTCAGGTTATTAATTAATACCTTTGTAAATATTAGATTTTCTTAAACAGATTATTGTTGAAACTTCAAGAGCCATTACTAAAATTTTTGCTATATAATAACAATTCTTTAAAAGAATAAACAAAATATAATTCTAAATAAATAGTTTTCAATTTATATTTGAGCTGCCAATTTAATTAAAATTAACAAAAATATTTTATATGTTTTTGAATAAATATATAATAATTAAATTAACAATAAATTATTTTTCTGTATCTTAAAATGACCATTTTACTTCATTATTATTATTTATATATATATAAATAATTGATAATATATGGTATTGATCTTTAAATAATTCAAGTATAGTAGATAAATAAGATGTGTTAAATCCATATGATAATAAGTACTGGATCTTACTTGATGGAAATAAAATCCTCCCATATGGACATTGAGTGAATTGGATTATATAAACACCTGCTAGCATTTAAAATATTTCCTGAGGAAGCAGAAGAAAGGGCTATGAAAGCTAACTTCGTATCAAAGCATAAATGCTTTATAACAATATTTTTTCGGGCAAAAAATTTTAAAATTTTAAAGAATATATTTTCATTAATTAAGGTCACAAAAACTGCATTGCGAAAGGGCAAAAAATATGATGATCTTGCAAAAAACTATGGAGGCTATCTAAAGAAATTGCGAGTTGAAAAGAATCTGAATGACTATATTAAGACAGTCGCAGTCAAAATGTTCCTAACGAAGAGGCATACACTCTAAGGCTAGAAAATTAGATAATGATCTATATGCTGCTAGCCTAGAGGAATTATATAAGCTTTATTATCAAATAGCTAAGGAGGAGAATCGCGAAAGGTCAGATGACGAAATAGAGCAGATGCTCAAAGCAATGGCAATCTAGTCGTCTTTGGCAAAGCATTTTACTGTTATTTTTTCGTCTAAAGAATAATGTAGATGAAAGTTTAGCAATAAAAAATAAAAACATTATTTAGAAAATAATACAATGTAGTCGTACAACCCACTTGAAAAAGCAGATACAATTGCTGAAATCGTCAAAAGGCTCCCATTAGAGACTTTTGATAAATTCCGTTGGATAAATAGTACTTGGTATAAAGAAATTCAGCATGATTTTCGGCGAAGATGGAAGATACAAGTGCTAGAATATTATAAATTGGAAAATTAACAGAAGTTATAAATGGAAGAGAAAATATCCTAATGATGAATTCATGCAAGGGTATTTACATTGCAAAAATATGAGGGACTTATATCAAAGGGAACTCAATGAAGCTAAAAAACAGGCGGAGATCGAAAGTTATATGCTTCGCAATGGAATGCTCTATGGGCAAGAAAAGGAAATAGTAAAATATAATATACAGCAGATAGCTAAAAATGAAATTCCTTGGGATGTCTAGGGATTTTATTAGAGAAGAGCAATATTTTTATTTAGCCCACCATAGTAAACTGCGTATATATACAATCAGGTAGACAAGTTATAGCGCCAACATAAACATTATAGATTTTTTTCTGGCGCGGTAAATATTCAGTTATTTTTTCTCGGATATAGAAAGAAATACCTTCTAACAAATATTACACGGATTCGGAAAAGATATATGCTATTCAAGAGATCAAAAACTCCATTATAGCGTTAGAACGTGACATAACAAAATACATCAAAATCTTAAAAGCATTGACCGAGAAATATATTATCTATATGATGCTATGCCATCATTCTCTGAATAGTCGGAAGATTTCGAAGAATCTGATAATTGTACAGATATATGTGAAAAAAGCAATCATCCCAAAAAGAAGGAAGTACAATCAAGACATGTTAATATTGTAAAAGTGAAAGATAATTGAATCAGATATACTATCAGTTATGGCTAAAAAATCGAGGAATAATAGGCGCAAGACTGCAGGTAAGTTCATAAATTTCACTTATTAGTTTTTTATTTTTTTTCACTAAATAATTTTTGATTGCAAACTGAGACAAATGTTCGTTGAAATCCTAAATAGTTGGAAATTGAGATAGCGTCTCCCTGTGGAAATAGAGCCCTTTATTATGAGTACAGAACTCAACGCGAATATAAGGAATATTAAATGTATAACAAAGGAAAAAGTAGTTAGCGTTGAAGCATATTCATCTGGTCGAGCGCAGCCATTCACAGGTAGACTCCCATAGTATGGTAATAACGTCCCTGCTATCCAGATGAATGAGCTCAGTCTTTTCCCGACCTTTAACCTATTATCTAGCAGATGCTTGTGAAGGGGAATCTCCCACAGATATACAAGCGAGTAAGCTCAGTTTTTTCTGCTTGAGTAAACTAGCTACTGTATGCTTTAATGAAAAAAATGAAAAAAAAATTCCTCTATATAAATTTCGTCATCTGATTTGTGGTACCGAGGCCAATGTGGTACAATCAAAAACCTGATATAAAAGCATACGGTACGCGTTACAAAATGAGATCACTCGAAGTTCGTGAAGATCAAAAAAAATTCTTGATAGATGACGAAGTTCTTTACGCGATACCATTACCGCCGTAAAAATTCTGGTTTTCGTGATTATAAGTTACGATTAGAAGAAGCATTACAAGGCGACCTATATTCAAAAAATTATCAAGTTTAAAAAGAAAATTGGAGGCTGATGAGTATAGGAATGACTGGGAGGGCTATGAGGATGAGAGACGAATCCGAAAAGCTGATGTATGTTACTTTTTTATTTAAGAATTGGGGCTGGTACTAACAAAGCGAACATCGAATAATAGAAAAAAGTAAAGAAAACAAAACTTCAAGCACATGTCATCTTCCATAATCAATTAGATGAAATATTTAAAGTTATTCAGAAAGAGGTAATTATTTTATTAACTTGTCTCCATGAAATAGTGTAATTTTTTTCGCTGTTATTGATTTACCTTTATGATATAATGTTAATATTTTTCGCTGGCTTAGAAATAAACCGGTGAAAATCAAACCGATGATGATACTAATATTCCTTATACGATTGGAAATGACACGCTATCTGATAACCCTAATCATTTATTTATTAACTATTTTATCAATTAAAAATAAATTTATGCCTAGCTTCCAGTATAATTACGGTCAAGCTCAGGTAGCATCGTCCACACTGGAAATAGATATTTTAAGTGATGAAGAGAGGTACCTTAATTATTTACATTAACAACTACGAAGCAATATTCTCACTATTGTTTTAATAGAATGGTTAAGTATGACGAAGAGCTAGAATTATTTGCTCAAGAAACCGTTCGAAATGATGGAGAGAAATGGGTTATATGCGACACCGATCTACATGACACATTAACTAAATGGCAAAAGGTGAAAGTCCAGCCACGCACTGAGTAAGTATTTTTGTAAATATGCGTGCTTAAGATGCGATAAATCTGACATACTGATGCTGGAATTTCTAGCCTAGCATTTTACAACATTATAGACATGACTCCAGGTTCAAACAGCAATTTCATACGATTACTACCCAAAGATGTAGTACGCGAGATAAGGCCAAGACCGTTACCAACACCTCTCATGGACGATAAGATGGAATGAATGAACATTTAATTAATTTTATTAAGGTATCATTGGTGTTAAAGCCCACATTGTAAGTTATGTAGTTTATGCATGTCATCAAACATGTTCTAAGAAGTCACTATGTTCAATTTTCTTTACAATATAGTCGGGCGGATTCCGTAAATATGTGGACAAAAATTATACAAAAACAAGAACTAATAACACTACAAAATTTGTTTGGGAGTATTTTAAACTTCCTGTAAGGACATAAAACATTTTCATAACTTATCTTCAACTTTCTTATTCCTTACCAAGCTCTTTTCTTAGAGTAGAGTCGTTTGAAAGAGAAAATGACTTAGCAGATTCAAATCTGTCTGAATTAGGATATCGAGAGACGTTCCTTATGTCACTAATATGTAGTCTATTCCGGGGGCTTAACCGGGAAATGAACATTTTTTTGTATGTGTAGGAACAATATACGTTACAATCTTTGATCGCATCTTTTAATGAAAATTTGTACGTTCAATTAGTGGAGAAAATGTTTATTTTCCTCTTCAGAAGACAAAATATGGAAAAAGATGACGAGGAAGACAGGACAACTGGACGAAAGATAGATGTTATTTGGTCTATGAAACCAACGGACCTTGAATTTTCAATTCGCGAAATAAGTGGACCACCAAACAAGTAAGATCATACGCACTTTTTCAAAGATAAAATAAAGATCGGGAAGATGTTAAAAAAAAATAATAAATCGAATAATGAGAAATATGGGTGTAGAAACGCGAAATTATGTTCATTAAAAATTTATGGTTTACAGTTTTATTGTAAGTACCGCCAGCTTCAGGAATTATTAACACTGTGTGAGATTAACATATTCTAACTTTTTATAGATATGAAGTGATTGTTTATGAAATGGCAGTACCATTCCGAGGATTATATACTTTTAATGAAATTCTCCGATCAAGGCTTCCGACCAATGACGTTGAAATTGGACTGTTAACGCGATCTATGCCGGCATTAATCAATATCAAGGTTTGTATTTGTTCTGTGCTAATCAATTAAGTTTCTAAATTATCTTTATATATAACACTGCCGTGTTATCAGGAGTTGCTTAAAAAGAGCTTGGACGATATAAAAAAATACATTATGGATGCATGCACTAGTACACCGGATGATGATAATACAAACTCATTTGTTACACACACTGATTCGACATCTAAATCAAAAACGAAAAAAAGGAGCTAATTTGACATCATGTTAAAATGCTTTAATTCCTATACAGGGCCTCCATAATTGGAAATACTTTTTAAACTTATATTATTCAAGACTAGGTAAGTTAATTAAATGCTAATTTTTTATTGCATATTTAGCAGCACCTAAGGTACAATATACTAAAATTCCATGCAGTTTCATTAAGTTGCATAGAATTTATGTGGAAGTTTTGAAAATTTGTTATTTTTGGACTTGATAGGTAATTGATTTTTGAATTTTTTTTTAAAAAAAAATTTATAAAAAATCATTCTTGTTAAAGTTGGTTTCAATTATTGTATTGCACTTAGGTAACATTATACAATATTAAAAAAGGTATATTGTATAACAAATCAGTTTAATTAAGATTTTCTTTCTATAAATAATGGATATTAATAAAGATTATAATTACCAACAAGAATATTTGATTTATACAATTGTTTTTGTTATTGAATACAATAAATTTGTTATGTAAAATGTTATAAAAAGGTTTGTCAGTTTGATATTATTGAAACAAAAAAAAAACTTGAATATTTTAGGATTCTCTTTTTTATTAATTAAAAAATTTAGTTATTAATAATAATTATTATCTTACTTTTATCCAAATTAAAAATCTTTATAATAAAAATAAAAAAAGGTTTTTATAAATATTGTATATCATAAATTATATAACAAAAATTAAGATTGTTCAATCTTTTTAAAACTATTAATCTTTTTAAAAAACAAATAAAATATTATTAAACTTTTAAAAATGAAATACAAACTATTTAATACTCTAATCATATTCTATAATTAGATAAAACTATTATTTGTTTTTTTCAAAACTTTTTTAATAACATTTAATATAAATTTTATAAGAAATAGAGGTTTATTACTATGAGTTTTATTTTAAGTTATAGTTTAGTTTTGGGTTATATACAATATATTTGAGTTGTTTCTTTTGATATAAAGTTTGATTTTTTGTTTATTATCAATACTTTATATATTAAAATTCTATAAAAATATGGATTATTTATTTTTAAAAACTTTTACAAAGTAATTTATTATTTCTTTTTTAATAAAATAATTATAATTAAAGTTTTTAAAAGCTTTTCTAATATAGTAAAAAAAATTAATATAAAATGTAAGATTTGAAAATAATTAAAAACTTAAAAATAAAGTAAAGAAATAAAAATTTAAAAATAATTAAAAGCTTAAAAAATAAAATAAAAAAATAAAATTTTAAAACTCTTAATCTATTTTCAATATATTAAAAAAATTGATATTAATTTTGAATTTGAAATTAATTATATATAATATGAAATAGTTTTGTTTTAAATTTTTAAAATTTATATTATATATATTTGTATTATTTTATATTTTATTCTATTATTATTATTATTTAATTTATATTTATAATAAAAAATAATAATATAATTTAAATTTACAATTTTTTTTAAAAATTAACAATTGAACTGAAATTATTTATTTATTAAATTATAAAACTATTACAAATATAAAAATACATATAAAATATAATTTTCTTAATCTAACTTATTTATTAATAGCTAAAGTTTCTATAGATATTGTAATTTATAAAAGTAATATATTATTTCTTCAATAAATAGAATTAAAATTAAGACTTTTAATAAAATTAAACCTGTAAATTACCTTTATAATTATAATTATAAATTCAAATTATTTTATTTTTTTTATAAAAATTATATAAAGAAAAAAAAATAAAAAATTATAGAAAAAAATAAAAAATATAAATATATACAAAAAAAATCTAAAAAAGAAAAAAAAATCTATTATCTTTTCTAACTATTATTGAAAAAAATTATTTCAATAAACAAAAAATTCAAATATCTTATAATTATTAATATATTTACTTCTTATTACTTGTAATTAGTTAGATTATTTAATTTCTTAAAGTAATAATATTTAAGAAATTTTTAAAAAAATATTTTATAAAACTTTTATTTAAAGATTTTTAATTAAAAAAAATATTAGTTTTTATTATTGATTTCTTTCTTAAGCTATATCTTCTAGAAATATTAATTTATTTAATTAATAGATAGTTTCAAAATTCTTTTTTTTAATCATTTTTGAAATAAAATTATTATTATTTCAATTTGTTATCAGATTGAAATAAAACTTGAATCTTGTAGCTATTTTTACCTTTTAAAAAGAATAAAATCAAAAATAAAAAATAAAAAAAAATAAAAAAATTATATTATTTCTTTAAACTATAACTTTAACTTTATCTAATATTTTTATACTATTCTTTTAATTAAAAATCAATTAACTTTTCAGAAATTAATTATATTATTAGTTCAATATTACATAATTAAAAATATATAAAAGGAAATATCTTATTTATTTTTCTATAATAGATATGATTAATCAATTTATAATCTTAATTAATTATTTTTTAGAAAATCCAATATAATATAAAAATTAAAAACTTTTTTTTTTTTAAAAGTCTTTAAGAATATATATTTTTTTAATTTGCTTTTTAAAAAAATATTTTTCTATAAATTCTTTAAATAAGTTTCTTATATTTAATTATAAAATTAAGAAAAAAAAACAAATAGAAACTATTGCTTGCACTATTAATTAAAAAATTAATATTAATAATAAAAGTTTATAAATTTTATTATTATAAAGATATAAAATCTTTAAAAAAATATCTGTTTTTTAAATTGACAAAAAAATTAGTAAAAAGAGTTTTAATAATATAATAAATTATAACAATTATATAATTAAATTTTTTTAAACTTAAAAATATAAACAAAAATTTTAATGATTAAATATTATAATATAATAAATTATAATAATTATATAATTGGATTTTTTTAAACTTAAAAATACAAATAGAAATTTTTATAGTTGAATAATTCCAATATTTATTATAGTTTTTTATAATTTTTATAAATAAATATGTATATATATTTTGGTTGCAATGATTAATATTTATATATAATTAATAAAATCATATGAAAATATATTTTAATTAATTGATATTTTTTAAATAAAATATTGAATTTTTTTTTTTTTAACAAATAAGCATTAAATATATGATTTTTATTAAACAAATTTATATATTATTTAAAATTTTATTTTAAGTTTTGATATTTTTTTTTTT